CACACCCCACACCCCACACCCCACACCCCACACCCCACACCCCACACCCCACACCCCCACACCCCACACCCCACACCCCACACCCCCACACCCCACACCCCACACCCCACACCCCACACCCACACCCCACACCCCACACCCCCACACCACACACCCCACACCCCACACCCCACACCCCACCCCCCACACACCCCACACCCCACACCCCACACCCCCACACCCCACCCCTCACCCCACACCCCACACCCCACACCCCACACCCCACACCCCACACACCACACCCCACACCCCACACCCCACACACCACACCCCACACCCCACACCCCACACCCACCCCACACACCCACACCCCACACCCCACACCCCACACCCCACACACCCCACACCCCACACCACCACCCCACACCCCACACCCACACCCCACACCCACACCCCACACCCCCACACCCACACCCACACCACACACCCCACACCCCACACCACACCCCACACCCCACCCCACACCCCACACCCCACACCCCACCCCCACACCACACCCTCACCCACACCCCACACCCCACACCCCACACCCCACACCCCACACCCCACACCCCACACCCCACACCCACACCCCACACCCCACACACACCCACCCCACACCCCACACCCCACACCCCACACCCCACACCCCACACCCACACACCCACACACCCACACCCCACACACCCCACACCTCACACCCCACACCCCACACCCCACACCCCACACCCCCACACCCCACACCACCACACCCCACACCCCACACCCCACACCCCACCACACCCCACACCCCACACCCCACACCCCACACCCACACCCCACACCCCACACCCCACACCCCACACCCACACACACCCCACACCCCCACACCCCACACCCCACACCCCACACCCACACACCCACACCCCACACCCCACACCCCCACACCCACACACCCCACACCCCACACACACCCCACACACCACACCCCACACCCACACCCACACCCCCACCCCACACCCACACCCCACACCCCACACCCCACACCCACACACCCACACCCCACACCCCACACACCACACACCACACACACCACACACCCCACCCCCACCCCACACCCCACACCCCACACCCCACACCCCACACCCCACACCACACACCACACACCACACACCCCACACCCCACACCCCACACCACACACCACACACCCACACACCACACCCCCCACACCACACACCACACACCCCACACCCCACACCCCACACCCCACACACCCACACCCACACCCCACACCCCACACACACACCCCACACACCCACACCCCACACCCCACACCCACACCCCACACCCCACACCTCACACCACCCCACACCCCACACCCACACCCCCACACCACACCCCACACCCCACACCCCACACCCCACACCCCACACCCCCACACCCCACACACCCACACCCCACACCCCCACACCCCACACCACACACCCCACACCCCACACCCCACACCCCACACCCCACACCACACACCACACCACACACCCCACACCCCACACCCCACACCCCACACCCCCACACCCCACACCCCACACCCCACCCACACACCCCACACCCCACACCCCACACCACACCCCACACCCCACACCCCACACCCCCACACCCACACACCACACCCCACACCCCACACCCCACACCTCACACCCCACACCCCACACACCACACACCCCACACCTCACACCCCACACCCCACACCACACCCACACCACCCACACCACACCCACACACCCACACCTCACACCCCACACCCCACACCCCACACACACACCCCACACCCCACACCCCACACCTCACACCCCACACCCCACACCTCACACCTCACACCCCACACCACACCCCACACCACACCACACCCCACACCTCACACCCCACACCACACCCCACACCCCACACCTCACACCCCCACACCTCACACCTCACACCCCACACCACACCCCACACCCCACACCTCACACCCCACACCCCACACCTCACACCCCACACCCCACACCTCACACCCCACACCTCACACCCCACACCTCACACCTCACACCCCACACCCCACACCTCACACCCCACACCTCACACCCCACACCCCCACACCTCACACCCTACACCCCACACCTCACACCCCACACCCCACACCCCACACCCTACACCTCACACCCCACACCCCACACCTCACACCTCACACCCCACACCTCACACCCCACACACCACACCCCACACCCCCCACCTCACACCCCACACCTCACACCCCACACCTCACACCCCACACCTCACACCTCACACCCCACACCCCCACACCTCACACCCCACACCTCACACCCCACACCCCCACACCCCCCACCCCACCCTCATGACTTTACCTCCTCTCCCTCGAGTCGAAATTATAGCAATTTCAGGTCAATTGTTTTTAATTGCTTGAAGTATTAAGTTGACTGCCAGTTGCAGGTTGCATAACGGTCTCTAACAGTTCGAGACATCAACAGTGTTGCTGGGAAAAGTGCAACTGCTGCTTCCTGAGGCAACGAACAACAACAACAGGAATGTTTTGGGGAATGATATGTTGCAAGGGAGAGTTTCCCACGCTCTTCAAGCAGGTGGAATTGGTCACTCAAGCAGTTGCAACCACTAGGGCAGGTGGTGAGGGCAGGTGGTGAGGGCAGGTGGTGAAGGGGCAGGTGGTGTGGGCAGGTGGTGAGGGGCAGGTGGTGAGGGGCAGGTGGTGAGGGCAGGTGGTGAGGGCAGGTGGTGAGGGCAGGTGGTGAGGGCAGGTGGTGAGGGCAGGTGGTGAAGGGCAGGTGGTGAGGGCAGGTGGTGAGGGCAGGTGGTGAGGGCAGGTGGTGAAGGGCAGGTGGTGAGGGCAGGTGGTGAAGGGCAGGTGGTGAGGGCAGGTGGTGAGGGCAGGTGGTGAGGGCAGGTGGTGAGGGCAGGTGGTGAGGGCAGGTGGTGAAGGGGCAGGTGGTGTGGGCAGGTGGTGAGGGGCAGGTGGTGAGGGGCAGGTGGTGAGGGCAGGTGGTGAGGGCAGGTGGTGAGGGCAGGTGGTGAAGGGGCAGGTGGTGTGGGCAGGTGGTGAGGGGCAGGTGGTGAAGGGCAGGTGGTGAGGGCAGGTGGTGAAGGGCAGGTGGTGAGGGCAGGTGGTGAGGGCAGGTGGTGAGGGCAGGTGGTGAGGGCAGGTGGTGAGGGCAGGTGGTGAAGGGGCAGGTGGTGTGGGCAGGTGGTGAGGGGCAGGTGGTGAGGGGCAGGTGGTGAGGGCAGGTGGTGAGGGCAGGTGGTGAAGGGGCAGGGGGTGTGGGCAGGTGGTGAGGGGCAGGTGGTGAGGGGCAGGTGGTGAGGGGCAGGTGGTGAAGGCAGGTGGTGAGGGCAGGTGGTGAGGGTAGGTGGTGAGGGCAGGTGGTGAGGGCAGGTGGTGAGGGCAGGTGGTGAGGGCAGGTGGTGAGGGCAGGTGGTGAGGGCAGGTGGTGAGGGGCAGGTGGTGAGGGGCAGGTGGTGAGGGCAGGTGGTGAGGGTAGGTGGTGAGGGCAGGTGGTGAGGGCAGGTGGTGAGGGCAGGTGGTGAGGGCAGGTGGTGAGGGTAGGTGGTGAGGGCAGGTGGTGAGGGCAGGTGGTGAGGGCAGGTGGTGAGGGTAGGTGGTGAGGGCAGGTGGTGAGGGCAGGTGGTGAGGGCAGGTGGTGAGGGTAGGTGGTGAGGGCAGGTGGTGAGGGCAGGTGGTGAGGGCAGGTGGTGAGGGCAGGTGGTGAGGGCAGGTGGTGAGGGCAGGTGGTGAGGGCAGGTGGTGAGGGCAGGTGGTGAGGGCAGGTGGTGAGGGCAGGTGGTGAGGGCAGGTGGTGTTTGCCCTACACCTCCACCGCCATTCAATATGTAAATTGAAAAACTAGTTTTTCTGAATGTTTAAAGAACGGAAGGAATTTCCTGTTTAATTATTTCTTTAATTATTCCCCGCCTCGAACTGGCATCTTACAATCGGTCGTTGTGACAGAGATTGATTTGTATTTTCATGACTGATTTAGCAATTAATATTTCTGACAAAGAGTCTTTTTATTTTTTTAATAAAGTCAGTGTACCGTAGTTGATAGAGGTTGTGGCGAGGCTCTATAAGCTCTTACCTGCTGGCTCTAACAGCTCTCTCTCTCTCTACTACAGCTCTTACTCTTGTAGCTCTCTCTCTGCCACAGCTCTCACTCTCACTTGCTCTTTGGTCCCGCCTCTCAACCGTCAATCAACTGGTGTACAGATTCCTGAGCCTACTGGGCTCTATCATATCTACACTTGAAGCTGTGAATGGAGTCAGCCTCCACCACATTACTTCCTAATGCATTCCACCTGTTAACTACCGACACTGAAAAAGTTCTTCCTAACGTCTCTGTGGCTCATGTGGGCACTGAGTCTCCACCTGTGGCCCCCGTGTTCGTGTCCCACTGTTGTAACCCACAAGTTAGGATGGGATATTAGCTAGAGAATCATTACTACAATACTAAGCAAATGATGAGTGGAAGTATCCTTCAAGATTGAGACTGTTGTCACACATCGAAGTAAGGTCAATGGGTTAATGGACCCATTGGCCAATGGATTATACTTTCGGTTAATGGTTAATCGGATTATAGTTTCCTTGAGGCGCGGGGTGAAGTGCTTGAGGCCATGGGGCCTGACAGCTGAGTGGACAGTGCTTTGGATTCGTAGTCCTGAGGTTCCGGGTTCGGTCCCTGGTGGAGGCGGAAATAAATGGGCAAAAAGTATCTTTCAACCCTGATGCCCGTGTTACCTAGCAGTAAATAGGTACCTGGGAGTTAGATAGCTGCTACGAGCTGCTTTCTAGGGGGATGTATAACAAAAAAGGAGACCTGGTTGAGGACCGGGCCGCGGGGACGCTAAGCCCCGAAATCATCTCAAGATGGCTGGCAGGAGTCAGTCTGGTGGTGGGAGTGGTAGTGGTAGTGGCAGGTCCTCCTGATCTCCGTCTGTGGCAATGACCAAGTGGAGCAGCGACTATGTGGAGACTCATGTGATCTGGTTCACCAAGTTATGGCTGCAGTGTGATTATTGACCATAAGACTAACCGGGTGTGTGTAGCGTTGTGGTAATCATTCAGTAATAGCCACTCTCTCTACTCTCCCCAAGCCAGTCCCTCTACTCTCCCCAAGCCACTCTCTCTACTCTCTCCAAGCCACTCTCTCTACTCTCCCCAAGCCCCTCCCTCTACTCTCTCCAAGCCACTCTCTCTACTCTCTCCAAGCCACTCTCTCCAAGCCACTCTCTCTACTCTCCCCAAGCCACTCCCTCTACTCTCCCCAAGCCCCTCCCTCTACTCTCTCCAAGCCACTCTCTCTACTCTCTCCAAGCCCCTCCCTCTACTCTCTCCAAGCCACTCTCTCTACTCTCCCCAAGCCACTCCCTCTACTCTCCCCAAGCCACTCTCTCTACTCTCCCCAAGCCACTCTCTCTACTCTCCCCAAGCCACTCTCTCTACTCTCCCCAAGCCACTCCCTCTGCTCTCCCCAAGCCACTCTCTCTACTCTCCCCAAGCCACTCCCTCTGCTCTCCCCAAGCCACTCTCTCTACTCTCCCCAAGCCACTCCCTCTACTCTCCCCAAGCCACTCTCTACTCTCCCCAAGCCACTCCCTCTACTCTCCCCAAGCCACTCTACTCTCCCCAAGCCACTCCCTCTACTCTCCCCCAAGCCACTCCCTCTACTCTCCCCAAGCCACTCTCTCTACTCTCCCCAAGCCACTCCCTCTGCTCTCCCCAAGCCACTCTCTCTACTCTCCCCAAGCCACTCTCTCTACTCTCCCCAAGCCACTCTCTCTACTCTCCCCAAGCCACTCCCTCTACTCTCCCCAAGCCACTCTCTCTACTCTCCCCAAGCCCCTCCCTCTACTCTCTCCAAGCCACTCCCTCTACTCTCCCCAAGCCAGTCCCTCTACTCTCCCCAAGCCACTCCCTCTACTCTCCCCAAGCCACTCCCTCTACTCTCCCCAAGCCCCTCCCTCTACTCTCCCCAAGCCACTCCCTCTACTCTCCCCAAGCCACTCCCTCTACTCTCCCCAAGCCACTCCCTCTACTCTCCCCAAGCCACTCCCTCTACTCTCTCCAAGCCACTCCCTCTACTCTCCCCAAGCCACTCCCTCTACTCTCCCTAAGCCACTCCCTCTACTCTCCCCAAGCCACTCCCTCTACTCTCTCCAAGCCACTCCCTCTACTCTCCCCAAGCCACTCCCTCTACTCCCCCAAGCCACTCCCTCTACTCTCCCCAAGCCACTCCCTCTACTCTCCCCAAGCCACTCCCTATACTCTCCCCAAGCCAGTCCCTCTACTCCCCCCAAGCCACTCCCTCTACTCTCCCCAAGCCAGTCCCTCTACTCTCCCCAAGCCACTCCCTCTACTCTCCCCAAGCCAGTCCCTCTACTCTCCCCAAGCCACTCCCTCTACTCTCCCCAAGCCAGTCCCTCTACTCTCCCCAAGCCACTCCCTCTACTCTCCCCAAGCCACTCCCTCTACTCTCCCCAAGCCAGTCCCTCTACTCTCCCCAAGCCACTCCCTCTACTCTCTCCAAGCCACTCCCTCTACTCTCTCCAAGCCCCTCCCTCTACTCTCTCCAAGCCCCTCCCTCTACTCTCCCCAAGCCCCTCCCTCTACTCTCTCCAAGCCACTCCCTCTACTCTCTCCAAGCCCCTCCCTCTACTCTCTCCAAGCCCCTCCCTCTACTCTCTCCAAGCCCCTCCCTCTACTCTCTCCAAGCCCCTCCCTCTACTCTCTCCAAGCCCCTCCCTCTACTCTCTCCAAGCCCCTCCCTCTACTCTCTCCAAGCCACTCCTGCTTCTACTTCTCAATTTACCCTCCCTGACCTTTTAATTAAGATAGTTAAGGTGTTGTTAAGGTCCCTGCAAGGTGCTCACCAGGACAGGAGAGAGCTCAGCAGGACAGGAGAGAGCTCAGCAGGACAGGAGAGAGCTCAGCAGAACAGGAGAGAGCTCAGCAGGATAGCAGAGAGCTCACCAGGACAGCAGAGAGCTCACCAGGACAGCAGAGAGCTCACCAGGACAGCAGAGAGCTCAGCAGGACAGCAGAGAGCTCAGCAGGACAGCAGAGAGCTCACCGGGACAGCAGAGAGCTCAGCGGGACAGCAGAGAGCTCAGCGGGACAGCAGAGAGCTCACCAGGACAGCAGAGAGCTCAGCAGGACAGCAGAGAGCTCAGCGGGACAGCAGAGAGCTCAGCGGGACAGCAGAGAGCTCAGCAGGACATCAGAGAGCTCAGCAGGACAGCAGAGAGCTCACCAGGACAGCAGAGAGCTCAGCAGGACAGCAGAGAGCTCAGCAGGACAGCAGAGAGCTCAGCAGGACAGCAGAGACCTCAGCAGGACAGCAGAGAGCTCAGCAGAACAGCAGAGAGCTCAGCAGGACATCAGAGAGCTCAGCAGGACAGCAGAGAGCTCAGCAGGACAGCAGAGAGCTCAGCAGGACAGCAGAGAGCTCAGCAGGACAGCAGAGAGCTCAGCAGGACAGCAGAGAGCTCAGCAGGACAGCAGAGAGCTCAGCAGAACAGCAGAGAGCTCAGCAGGACAGCAGAGAGCTCAGCAGGACAGCAGAGAGCTCAGCAGAACAGCAGAGAGCTCAGCAGGACAGCAGAGAGCTCAGCAGAACAGCAGAGAGCTCAGCAGGACAGCAGAGAGCTCAGCAGGACAGCAGAGAGCTCAGCAGGACTGACAGCAGAGAGCTCAGCAGAGGAAGGGCTGCCACAGTGGGCACAACCGGCAAATCCTGCCGGAAAAACCCACCCAAACATAAGCCTGAGAGCCGTCAGTAAAGAGAGGAGTCGTGTGGCGGGGAAGAGAAGGCAGGGGGGTGGGGGGGGGGGGGATGGCAGCCCAGGCAAGGGAAGTCAGGGAGAGAAGGGAAGGCAGCGGAGGGCAGAGAGAGCATTGATGCCCTCACTGATGCCCTCATTGATGCCCTCGCCTCTCACAAGTCCCTCACATCTGTCATAAAAATATGAGGCCCTCAAGTTTGCTCATTACCAAGTTGGCTGAGAGTCAAAATTATTGGGCACTCATAAAATGCCACTCACCTCACAGTACTTAGACACTCATTTAGTGCCAGACTCGAGTTTGATGACTTTAGTGAGAGTGACAGTGTGTGGTGAGAGTGACAGTGTGTGGTGAGAGTGACAGTGTGTGGTGAGTGACAGACAGGACCTCAGGGCACCAACACAGGTGAGTGACGCAGGCTGGGACACCAGGTGTAAAAGCTGATGGTTTAATCTTTTGTTGATATTGTCCCGTCAGCTGTGTCCCTCCCCCCCCTCCCCTCCATGCTCTCTCTCTCTCTCTCTCTCTCTCTCTCTCTCTCTCTCTCTTACCTACATTACTATATACACATTATACACTCGTGTCCTTCTGTCTCACACACACCCACACCTCAACCCGTCCTCTCAAAATAACGTCGCTTTTCCCCAGTATGCGCGCTATATGGCCAAAAACTGACGTAATTTGAAATGAAATCGGTTCACGAAAGTGATGTTCTCCCCCGTTTTCTGTTTGGATCCTCCTGTCTGTTAGGTTAGGAGAGGAAACTTTCAATTAACGGTTTTCACGACATTTTGAAACTTTAGGAGAATTTCCTGCCCTCCTAACCCGCCAGAGGAACCTTAACTTACTGTTTTTAAACAAAAAAAAACTATTTAAATGTTTTTTTTCATTTTGAAATTACGAGTTTTCTGCCATACGGGTAAATAGCTAAATTCAGACGAAACACCATTTCCCCTTGATCACTCTATTTCCCCCCTTATCCTCCCCTTAGTCCCCCCACTGAGTCCCTCCCCTCTAACCTAACGTCCACTCCCCCCCTACACCCTTCTCTCAAAAAATATATTACTTATGCACCTAATACATTACTTAGATGTACCTGAAACATGAGGTACATCTGCATTTGTGCAGCTGCCCTAGACTATATGAAGTGGAGTACAGTGTGTGTCAAAAAGCTAACTAGGTGATGCTACAAAATCCCCATCACACAGGATGGTTAGTCATACAGAGGCATGTGATAAGTAGTCTACACCTGGCAGACTCTGGGTGCATTATGAGGATATCATCAACACAAGAGTGAATAAGGCAGCAGTGATACTAAGTTTCCCATCTCGCAGGATGGTTAGTCATACAGGGCCATATGTTCAGTAGCCTGCACTGGCAAATTTTGGGTACACTGTGAGGATATCTTCAAGAACACGAGAGTGAATAAAGTAATTGCAGAGCTCCAGGTACCTCATGCCAACGGGTCTGAAAGGTCTAATAACTGGGCATTCGGTGATGTAGTGTGGGAGATCATGCCGTAGTTCCTTCTCACAGAGTTTGCAACTGGAGTGCTCAGGACCTGTCACCTGTAGCCACCTGCCACAGGTAACGGTAACCCAACCTGATCCTTGCAACCACTGTGTCGCACAGTCTAGTGGACGTTTTGTGCTGCCCATAGATATAGGTTTTATTCACCAAACAGAACGCCTTGAAAGAAACCAACGTCGTTTATGCCTTCACATGCCCACTTGGGGACTGTCAGCCCCAAAGAACTCAGTATATAGGCAAGACAACAACGTCTCTAGGCTATTAACAATGTACAAACAACAGGGCTCCATCAAGGGAACATATAATCTCCTCACACAACCAGACCATCACCAGAGAAATCTTAACAAGCAACACAGAAATTATCGACAGATACAACGACAACAGGAGACTCGACATCAGCGAGGCACTACACATCAAAAAGTCAAAACCACCAATCAATAACCAATTAACACATAATTACATTCTACCCATTTCAAGACCCCGAACCAGCACAGATAAAATGTATTCCCATGGTTATATACCCCATTTATACCCATTGTTTCGTGTTCTGCCTTTCCCCATTGATTTGTATCCTATCACCTCACACAAAAAAATATAAGCATGAAACAGAGTATATAAAGATCAGTCTTTGAGAATGTGAGAAGTCTTGCAAAACGCTTCTAGGAGTCAGACCATAACTAAAAATGTAAAAAATGAACTTTGGAGAGTTAATTTTTCAATTACCCTCGACAGTGAAGAAAAACGTAAGAAATAATGAGAAGATTCGTGTCAGAATTATTAATCTTGCCCTTTCGGTCATATTCAACAACATATGTTTACAAGAAAGACTGCTACCAAAATATACTAATGTATATATATATATGCTGGACGCCAGAAGACGCAAAGAAACTACTAGAGAACCTAGATAAGATGAAAACTGTGAGCCGGCCAGATATAACCCCCCCCCCCGTCTGAAGGAGGCAGCAGAAGCCGTCATTAAAAAACGGCAGAACTTCCAGAATGTTGGAACATCACAAATTTGGTGTCGTAAAATAATTGTAGCAAACAAGAACAAGCGAGCAAGATTTCACTAACAAGCATCCACACCAATTACCTTTGTCTCCAAAGTGAGCAGTGGACCCCCCCCCCCCTCTTTAGCACTTTTTTTTTTATAGAGTTCTGCAAAATGATGGCAGAAAATAAACAGAATAGAGAGATGCGCTGAGTGTATATTTCTGGAGTGTAACTGAGTATTCAAGAGTGTCTCACGAGGTACACATGTTACAGAACACAGACTGGTGTCGTCTGGAGGCGGTGGTACAGGGGGATTATGGTGATTCCCGCCAGAAGTAAACGATGCCAGTGCCAGGAGAGGAGAGGTAGCGAGTGGAGTCCCGCAAGGCTCGGTACTGAACCTTATATCCTGTCTCTAACAACTCTTAACGCCCTAAGAGGAAAAATTCGGGGCGTACAGACATGCACACAGACACAGGATCCATCTTACATGTCAGTGTTTGCAGGTGATACACAAAATAAGACGACCCTTCACAACAGAGCGGCAGTCTTATACCCTACCTTGAGGCTACCTTGAGGTGCTTCCGGGGCTTAGTGTCCCCGCGGCCCGGTCGTCGACCAGGCCTCCTGGTTGCTGGACTGATCAACCAGGCTGTTAGACGCGGCTGCTCGCAGCCTGACGTATGAGTCACAGCCTGGTTGATCAGGTATCCTTTGGAGGTGCTTATCCAGTTCTCTCTTGAACACTGTGAGGGGTTTGCCAGTTATGCCCCTTATGTGTAGTGGAAGCGTGTTGAACAGTCTCGGGCCTCTGATGTTGATAGAGTTCTCTCTCAGAGTACCTGTTGCACCTCTGCTTTTCAACGGGGGTATTCTGCACATCCTGCCATGTCTTCTGGTCTCATGTGGTGTTATTTCTGTGTGCAGGTTTGGGACCAGCCCCTCAATTATTTTCCACATGTAAATTATTATGTATCTCTCCCGCCTGCGCTCAAGGGAGTACAGATTTAGGCTCTTTAGTCGGTCCCAGTAATTTAGATGTTTTACTGAGTGGATTCTAGCAGTAAAGGATCTCTGCACGCTCTCTAGGTCAGCAATTTCTCCAGCTTTGAAAGGGGCTGTCATTGTGCAGCAGTACTCCACTCTAGATAGCACAAGCGTTTTGAAAAGTATCATCATCGGTATAGCATCTCTAGTGTGAAAAGTTCTTGTTATCCAACCTGTCATTTTTCTTGCAGTTGTGACGGCTACTTTATTGTGTTCTTTAAAGGTAAGGTCTTCCGACATGAGTACACCCAGGTCCTTTACATTGCCTTTTCGTTCTATGTTATGATTTGCCTGCGTTTTGTACGTGGTTCCTGTTTTTATGTTTTCAATTTTTCCGTAGCGCATGAGCTGAAACTTATCCTCGTTGAATACCATATTATTTTCTGTAGCCCATAGAAAGACCTGATCAACATCTGATTGGAGGTTTGCCGTGTCCTCTATGTTGCCAACTCTCATGAAAATCCTAGTGTCATCTGCAAAGGATGATACAGTGCTATAGGTTGTGTTCTGGTCTATGTCCGATATGAGGATGAGAAAAAGTACTGGAGCAAGCACAGTACCCTGGGGGACTGAGCTCTTCACGGTTGATGGGCTGGATTTTATTTTGTTGACTATTACACATTGGGTTCTGTCAGTCAGGAAATTGTAGATCCATCTGCCTATTTTCCCGGTAATTCCTTTTGAACGCATTTTATGTGCAATAACACCATGGTCACATTTATCAAAAGCTTTTGCGAAATCTGTGTAAATTACATCAGCGTTTTGTTTGTCTTCCATAGCATCTAATGCCATATCATAGTGGTCCAGCAACTGCGACAGGCAAGAGCGCCCTGTTCTGAAACCATGTTGTCCGGGGTTATGGAGATGCTGTGATTCCATGTATTTTGTGATCTTACTTCTTAGCACTCTCTCAAAAATTTTTATGATGTGCGATGTTAGTGCTATCGGTCTGTAATTTTTTGCCTCTGCCTTATTTCCTCCTTTATGGAGTGGTGCTATCTCTGCTGTTTTTAGTATGTCAGGGATAACGCCAGTATCTAGTCTTTGTCTCCACAGAATGTGAAGGGCCTGCGATAGTGGTTTTTTACAGTTCTTGATGAATATGGAGTTCCAAGAATCCGGGCCTGGTGCAGAGTGCATAGGCATACTGTTTATGGCTTCTTCAAAATCTAGTGGGGATAGGGCGACGTCTGATATGTGATTTGATGTTGGTATCATATCAATGAAAAATTCATTTGGGTTATCAATCTTTAGTGCATTTAATGGCTCACTGAAAACAGAGTCGTACTGCTTCCTCAGTAACTCGCTCATTTCTTTGTTGTCATCTGTGAAAGTTCCATCTCCCTTTCGCAGGGGCCCGATACTAGATGTGGTTTTTTATCTTGATTTTGCATAGGAGAAAAAATATTTCGGATTTCTCTCTATTTCACTGATGGCCTTTTGCTCTCTTTGCCTCTCCTGGGTTTTGTATGATTCTTGTAGCTTGAGTTCAATTGTTTCTATTTCTCTACCTAACCTTCTTCGCCGTTCTTGAGATAGGGTGCGACTCTCAAGTTGTTCCGCGATTCGTTTTCTTCGCCTATATAAGGAACGACGTTCCCGTTCCAATCTGCATCTCTTTCTCTTTTTTCTTAGGGGTATGCGGTTTGAACATATTTCTAGTGCTACTGAGCTTATTTTTTCCAGGCACTGGTTCAGGTTTGCATTTCCTAGCTGTTCTTCCCAGTTTATTTCTGTGAAGTCCTGGTTTATTTGCTCCCAGTTTATCCGTTTATTATTGAAGTTGAATTTGCTGAAATCTCCTCCACCGGGAATCTGGACTGGTTTTGGAGGTCCATTCCCCATGGTTGTCAGTACCTCAATTAAGTTGTGATCTGAGTAACAGGTATTTGTAATCATTATGTTCCCGATCAACTCATCATTATTAGTGAAAATGAGGTCCAGCGTGTTCTCCTTCCTAGTTGGTTCTACTATTTGCTGGTTTAAGGCAAACCTATCGCACATCCGTAGCAGGTCATTTGCATGTGCCTGCTCATTTAGGCTACTTCCTGGTATTCTTTCTGATATTACTGTATTAGCCAGGTGCTTCCATTTCAGGTGCCGTAGGTTGAAGTCCCCAAGCAGGATGATGTTCGGAGCTGGATTTGTGAGGTTTTCCAAGCAGTGCTCTATTTTCATTAGTTGGTCTTTAAACTGCTGAGGGTTTGCCTCCGGTGACTTATATACAAGGACAACAACTACATTTAGGATCTCTATTTTGACTATCAGCACTTCCACCATATCATTTGAGGTGTTTAGCAGCTCAGTACAGATGAGTGTGTCTTTGATGTAGAGGCTGACCCCACCCTGAAGCCGGTGTTTCCTATCACATCTGAAGAGATTGTATTCTGGGATCCATATTTCACCATCAAGGTAGTCCTTTGTGTGAGTTTCCGTTAGGGCTGCAAACACTGCATTTGCCTCATGAAGGAGACCATCTATAAAATGAACTTTGTTGGATTTGCGTGATTTTATACCCTGGATGTTGGCAAATATAAATGATGTTATCGTGTTAGTGGAAGTGCTGGATGCTTTAATTGGTGTTAATATCTGAGGCTCTGGTAAGGAGGCCACTGTGTTTGCGTCCTCTCTAGCATTTGACCGAGTTGGTGGTAGAGTCTGGTCATTTTTAGCCATTCTTCTCCTCCTCCTCTTGCTAAAAAATTATCCCGGTTGATGGAGTAGTGGCTGTTTTCATAGTGGTAGTCTGTCGGTTTTATTCGCCTGGTACCTCTTATATGAAAAGCTGGGCATTCAGCATTGAAGCACTCTTTCCTGTCCAAAGAGTTCTTGCAAATTTCTGGGTGAAAGAATTCACAGCTTTTGGTACATTTACCTGTATTGAGGAGGTTTCTGCACTTTCTAGGGTGATTGTGTGTACATGTTCCATTTATTCTTCCCGATTCCCCATGCTTACAGGTAGCCCATCTGTAATACCAACAGATTTTGGGGCCTTGTTTTGTTTGTTTCCCTCTGCCAGGGACCGCACTCTGCTGCGGCGCCCCCGACACTGTGCCCTGCTCCGGTGCCTGTGACACTGTGCCCTGCTCCGGTGCCTGTGACACCGCGCACTGCTCAGGGGTCCCCGACTCCGTGCCCTGCTCAGGCATCCCCGACTCCGCGCCCTGCTCAGGCATCCCCGACTCCGTGCCCTGCTCAGGCATCCCCGACTCCGTGCCCTGCTCAGGCATCCCCGACTCCGCGCCCTGCTCAGGCATCCCCGACTCCGCGCCCTGCTCAGGCATCCCCGACTCCGCGCCCTGCTCAGGCATCCCCGACTCCGTGCCCTGCTCAGGCATCCCCGACTCCGCGCCCTGCTCAGGCATCCCCGACTCCGTACCCTGTATTGGGATCCTGGCAAACTCCTGAAGGAGTTTGAAAAAATGCCTCGTAGAATTTTACCTTAGGCTAATGCAAAGTTATGTTTCTCAACTAGTTTTCCTCACCTAGCTGTGCTTGCGGGGGGTTGAGCTTCGGCTCTTTGGCCCCGCCTCTCAACTGCTGTACCAACTGTACCACAATTGTAAAAATCCTCAGAGTAGTAGAGATTACAGAGAGAGTACATAGTCTCCTATACTATAAAAGAGGAAAGTCTTGGGAGTAGATGCAACCCACAAATATATATATATATATATATATATATATATATATATATATATATATATATATATATATATATATATATATATATATATATATATGTCGTACCTAGTAGCCAGAACGCACTTCTCAGCCTACTATGCAAGGCCCGATTTGCCTAATAAGTCAAGTTTTCATGAATTAATATATTTTCTCTAATTTTTTTCTTATGAAATGATAAAGCTACCCATTTCATTATGTATGAGGTCAATTTTTTTTATTGGAGTTAAAATTAACGTAGATATATGACCGAACCTAACCAACCCTACCTAACCTAACCTAACCTATCTTTATAGATTAGGTTAGGTTAGGTAGCCGAAAAAGTTAGGTTAGGTTAGGTTAGGTAGGTTAGGTAGTCGAAAAAACATTAATTCATGAAAACTTGGCCTATTAGGCAAATCGGGCCTTGCATAGTAGGCTGAGAAGTGCGTTCTGGCTACTAGGTACGACATATATATATATATATATATATATATATATATATATATATATATATATTTATATATTTATATATATATATATATATATATATATATAATACCAGAGGTTTAGAGGTTGACATTAGTAGAACAACTTCAAGAGCTGACCACCGCTTGTATATAGCAATCACGAACATGCACAAAGGAGTCTAGCTTCTGAATCCTATATGCAACCTTCGTGACACCAAAGACTGAATATGCAGCTCCGGCACACGAACCCCTTAACCCACACAACCTATGTGAGACCTATTCTTGAACATGCAACCATCCGTACAGACACAACAGTGGTCCCCCATCCACTTACCTACACAGATGTGTAACAGCCAACCCACACATACGTAGAAACCCCTCCAGACATTCAGAAACAGACAGATAGACAGACAGACACAGCCAGACAGACATAGACAGACAGACAGACAGCAAACTGACTATAATATCCTTAACAAATTCAATACAACTTGCAAGAGACCATCTCCAGCGTCTCATTATGGAGGGAACATGACTCCTCAGGTGAGGTACAGGTGAGGTACAGGTGAGGTACAGCCCCTACCTGGTGGAGGAGCCATTAGGGGGGGGGAGGGGCCCCTAGGGGGGGGGTGGATTGCTTATTGGAGGAGCCCCTAGTTGGAGGAGAACATCCAAGGACCTGCGGAGCCCCCAGGATAATGAGGAAGAGCCCCCAGGATAATGAGGAAGAGCCCCCAGGATAATGAGGAAGAGCCCCCAGGATAATGAGGAAGAGCCCCCAGGATAATGAGGAAGAGCACCCAGGATAATGAGGAAGAGCCCCCAGGATAACGAGGAAGAGCCCCCAGGATAATGAGGAAGAGCCCCCAGGATAATGAGGAAGAGCCCCCAGGATAATGAGGAAGAGCCCCCAGGATAATGAGGAAGAGCACCCAGGATAATGAGGAAGAGCCCCCAGGATAATGAGGAAGAGCCCCCAGGATAATGAGGAAGAGCCCCCTGGATAATGAGGAAGAGCCCCCAGGATAATGAGGAAGAGCCCCCAGGATAATGAGGAAGAGCCCCCAGGATAACGAGGAAGAGCCCCCAGGATAATGAGGAAGAGCCCCCAGGATAATGAGGAAGAGCCCCCAGGATAATGAGGAAGAGCACCCAGGATAATGAGGAAGAGCCCCCAGGATAATGAGGAAGAGCCCCCTGGATAATGAGGAAGAGCCCCCAGGATAATGTGGAAGAGCCCCCAGGATAATGAGGAAGAGCCCCCTGGATAATGAGGAAGAGCCCCCAGGATAATGAGGAAGAGCCCCCTGGATAATGAGGAAGAGCCCCCAGGATAATGAGGAAGAGCCCCCAGGATAACGAGGAAGAGCCCCCAGGATAATGAGGAAGATCCCCCAGGATAATGAGGAAGAGCCCCCAGGATAATGAGGAAGAGCACCCAGGATAATGAGGAAGAGCCCCCAGGATAATGAGGAAGAGCCCCCTGGATAATGAGGAAGAGCCCCCAGGATAATGAGGAAGAGCCCCCAGGATAATGAGGAAGAGCCCCCTGGATAATGAGGAAGAGCCCCCTGGATAATGAGGCAGAGCCCCCTGGATATTGAGGAAGAGCACCCAGGATAATGATTGCTACGAATGTGGACACATACAAATAGTGTGTGTATCACCAGAGACACATGTACACACATACCTTCCAAGCTTCATGAAAGCCTGCAGGAAATTTGACGGAAACATAATTTTTAAATGTTTGTCACCTACGTGAGACCAGTGAGTAATTATGCAGACCCACCAAGAAACCCATAACAAATAATATCTTAAAATGCAGCCTATCCTACCAAAGTTTAAGCACCAATAGAAGCTATTTGACAGTGCCAGTACTGAGCGTGACAGAGCCAGTACTGAGCGTGACCGAGCCAGTACTGAGCGTGACAGTGCCAGTACTGAGCGTGACCGAGCCAGTACTGAGCGTGACAGTGCCAGTACTGAGCGTGACAGAGCCAGTACTGAGCGTGACAGTGCCAGTACTGAGCGTGACAGAGCCAGTACTGAGCGTGACAGTGCCAGTACTGAGCGTGACAGAGCCAGTACTGAGCGTGACAGTGCCAGTACTGAGCGTGACAGAGCCAGTACTGAGCGTGACAGTGCCAGTACTGAGCGTGACAGAGCCAGTACTGAGCGTGACAGTGCCAGTACTGAGCGTGACAGAGCCAGTACTGAGCGTGACAGTGCCAGTACTGAGCGTGACAGTGCCAGTACTGAGCGTGACAGAGCCAGTACTGAGCGTGACAGTGCCAGTACTGAGCGTGACAGAGCCAGTTCTGAGCGTGACAGTGCCAGTACTGAGCGTGACAGTGTCAGAGAGGTGTCTGACGGCTGTGAGGGGACTAGTGAGAAGGTTCTGGAAGCTATACACGCAGTGTTGACGTGGTCGCAGTGCCAAAAATAGGTCCCCCTACTTCAAACACCCGTCCACTTGGAAAACAAGGCCCCGAGGCTCAGATATTCGTGAAAAAAAAACAAGAAATTCGAGAGTATTGATGGCGGCTGCCGTTAATAAAGGGAAAAAAAAAGGTCGCGCAGTGGAAGGGTTAAGCAAAACATCGAAATTCAAATGGATATCGAGACGACCGGATTCCATGTTATTTGTATGAGTAACGCTGACGGTGTATACATCTCCTTGTATATATACAACAGTGCCCATACTGGCATGTATACAAGCCCTCAACTGTATGAACAGCTTCATTCTTAAAGAATACTTCATTAGCAAACATTCATTCTTAACCTGACTCACATTCAAACCATGTTCTTTCAATGTGTGTGAATATGATCACGCTATCAATCTAGGGGGGTGGACTCTCGACAAGCCGCCGGTTTCATGTCCCCGTCGACGCCACTAGTGAGTGTCCCGCTGAGAGACAGACAGACAGACAGGTGTATACTGCATGTGTATTTTAAATTAATCCAATATAGTTTTCATGGAGTGAAAGATGCCACAAGTCTATGTTCAATATCTTTTGTTATTGCTCACTTTATTGATGATGATGCAAGTATTCACTCAAGGTATTCACTCAAGGTATTCATTCAAGGTATTCACTCAAGGTATTCACTCAAGGTATTCACTCAAGGTATTCACTCAAGGTATTCATTCAAGGTATTCATTCAAGGTATTCACTCAAGGTATTCACTCAAGGTATTCACTCAAGGTATTCACTCAAGGTATTCACTCAAGGTATTCACTCAAGGTATTCACTCAAGGTATTCACTCAAGGTATTCACTCAAGGTATTCATTCAAGGTATTCACTCAAGGTATTCACTCAAGGTATTCACTCAAGGTATTCACTCAAGGTATTCATTCAAAGTATTCACTCACAGGATGAGTGACGCTGCCCAATACTGTCACTATGGCGGTGTGTCCACTCACAGGATGAGTGGCGCTGCCCAATACTGTCACTATGGCGGTGTGTCCACTCACAGGATGAGTGACGCTGCCCAATACTGTCACTATGGCGGTGTGTCCACTCACAGGATGAGTGACGCTGCCCAATACTGTCACTATGGCGGTGTGTCCACTCACAGGATGAGTGGCGCTGCCCAATACTGTCACTATGGCGGTGTGTCCACTCACAGGATGAGTGACGCTGCCCAATACTGTCACTATGGCGGTGTGTCCACTCACAGGATGAGTGGCGCTGCCCAATACTGTCACTATGGCGGTGTGTCCACTCACAGGATGAGTGGCGCTGCCCAATACTGTCACTATATGGCGGTGTGTCCACTCACAGGATGAGTGACGCTGCCCAATACTGTCACTATGGCGGTGTGTCCACTCACAGGATGAGTGGCGCTGCCCAATACTGTCACTATGGCGGTGTGTCCACTCACAGGATGAGTGACGCTGCCCAATACTGTCACTATGGCGGTGTGTCCACTCACAGGATGAGTGGCGCTGCCCAATACTGTCACTATGGCGGTGTGTTCACTCACAGGATGAGTGGCGCTGCCCAATACTGTCACTATGGCGGTGTGTCCACTCACAGGATGAGTGGCGCTGCCCAATACTGTCACTATGGTGGTGTGTCCACTCACAGGATGAGTGGCGCTGCCCAATACTGTCACTATGGCGGTGTGTCCACTCACAGGATGAGTGACGCTGCCCAATACTGTCACTATGGCGGTGTGTCCACTCACAGGATGAGTGACGCTGCCCAATACTGTCACTATGGCTATGGCGGTGTGTCCACTCACAGGATGAGTGGCGCTGCCCAATACTGTCACTATGGCGGTGTGTCCACTCACAGGATGAGTGACGCTGCCCAATACTGTCACTATGGCGGTGTGTCCACTCACAGGATGAGTGACGCTGCCCAATACTGTCACTATGGCGGTGTGTCCACTCACAGGATGAGTGACGCTGCCCAATACTGTCACTATGGCGGTGTGTCCACTCACAGGATGAGTGACGCTGCCCAATACTGTCACTATGGCGGTGTGTCCACTCACAGGATGAGTGGCGCTGCCCAATACTGTCACTATGGCGGTGTGTCCACTCACAGGATGAGTGACGCTGCCCAATACTGTCACTATGGCGGTGTGTCCACTCACAGGATGAGTGGCGCTGCCCAATACTGTCACTATGGCGGTGTGTCCACTCACAGGATGAGTGACGCTGCCCAATACTGTCACTATGGCGGTGTGTCCACTCACAGGATGAGTGACGCTGCCCAATACTGTCACTATGGCGGTGTGTCCACTCACAGGATGAGTGACGCTGCCCAATACTGTCACTATGGCGGTGTGTCCACTCACAGGATGAGTGACGCTGCCCAATACTGTCACTATGGCGGTGTGTCCACTCACAGGATGAGTGACGCTGCCCAATACTGTCACTATGGCGGTGTGTCCACTCACAGGATGAGTGACGCTGCCCAATACTGTCACTATGGCGGTGTGTCCACTCACAGGATGAGTGACGCTGCCCAATACTGTCACTATGGCGGTGTGTCCACTCACAGGATGAGTGGTGCTGCCCAATACTGTCACTATGGCGGTGTGTACACTCACAGGATGAGTGGCGCTGCCCAATACTGTCACTATGGCGGTGTGTCCACTCACAGGATGAGTGGCGCTGCCCAATACTGTCACTATGGCGGTGTGTCCACTCACAGGATGAGTGGCGCTGCCCAATACTGTCACTATGGCGGTGTGTCCACTCACAGGATGAGTGGCGCTGCCCAATACTGTCACTATGGCGGTGTGTCCACTCACAGGATGAGTGGCGCTGCCCAATACTGTCACTATGGCGGTGTGTCCACTCACAGGATGAGTGGTGCTGCCCAATACTGTCACTATGGCGGTGTGTCCACTCACAGGATGAGTGGCGCTGCCCAATACTGTCACTATGGCGGTGTGTCCACTCACAGGATGAGTGGCGCTGCCCAATACTGTCACTATGGCGGTGTGTCCACTCACAGGATGAGTGGCGCTGCCCAATACTGTCACTATGGCGGTGTGTCCACTCACAGGATGAGTTTCGCTGCCCAATACTGTCACTATGGCGGTGTGTCCACTCACAGGATGAGTGACGCTGCCCAATACTGTCACTATGGCGGTGTGTCCACTCACAGGATGAGTGGCGCTGCCCAATACTGTCACTATGGCGGTGTGTCCACTCACAGGATGAGTGACGCTGCCCAATACTGTCACTATGGCGGTGTGTCCACTCACAGGATGAGTGACGCTGCCCAATACTGTCACTATGGCGGTGTGTCCACTCACAGGATGAGTGACGCTGCACAATAAACTCGCCCCTCGGGGCAAAATTAAAAAAAATATATTAGGAAGATTATCTAAGAAAATTTAATCGTGCAATAATCAAACAAAAAAAGCCAACAACAAACAAAAATTTACAGACAACAAACAAACAAAAACAGTTAATTAGGAAAGAAAGAAGCAAAAAAAAAATAGGTGTCATTAGGCCAGAAGCCGAACTAAGTCCTTCTTATTACGCTAATTAAGAAAGCGCTCCCGCGATGGCAACACCTTGTGTTATTACCTTACAGGGAGTTTGTTTGTTTGTCTTGCTTCCTTCACCTTGTGTGACAGCTGGTGTGGTGTGCCCGTCCTCTCCTCCACTAGTAAGGCACTACGGGCTCACCATAGCCCGTGCTACTTGGAACTTTTTGTTCCAGGTAGCCAATCTTTAACAGCATACACACTGTGGCCACTTCTCCCAACGCTACAAAGGTTCACTTGGCTGTGGGCGTTGTAACCTTTCTTGAACCTTTGCTCGTGTCCATCTCCTCAGACTGTCCCTCTCATCATTTTCTCCCTACTATTCCTCCAACAGACTCATCCCTCCCATCCTTCTCCTGACCTCAGCGCTGCTCTTCCATCCTCCTCTTCCTCTCTGCTTCTATCCCATCCTTGTCGTCCACCCTCCTCTCCCCCCCTAAGCCAAAGACCGTCCTGGCCGCTGGATAATGGCCGGTCAAGGCCGTTTAGCAGTGTGTTCAGGCAAGGGGAGATGGGTGTCGTGGGAGGGAGGGGCTAGGGAGGGAGGCTAGAGGTGTGTAGAGCGGCTGGAAATGGTGGATAGAGAGTGGAAAGGAAGAGGTATGGCGGGAGGGGAGGGGGTGGGGGGTGTTTACAAGGTGGTGGAGCAGAGATGGGGGGGTTGAGATGGGCTCTAATGCATGCAGGTGCTGGCAGAAAGGTCAACGAACCCGTTTAGGGCTGGAGGAGACTTGGGGTGAGACGGGACGGGTCTCCGTCTCACAGAATATTATGGTGGATAAGCTCTTAATGACGTCACAAGTCGTAAGATTGGGTTAAGAAAACATATACACACACACAAAGAGCTTTTGCCTTGCTCGCGTACACACGCACACACACACACACACACACATTGTGAGGCGGGACCAAAGAGCCAAAGCTCAGCCCCCGCAAACACAAATAGGTGAGCACATATGTAAGACCAGTCCTGGAGTATGTGGCCCCAGCATGGAGCCCGTACCTTGTCAAGCACAAGACGAAGCTGGAAAAAGTTCAGAGGCATGCCACTAGGTTAGTCCCAGAACTAAGAGGCGTGAGTTACGAGGAAAGACTGCGTGAGATGACCCCCACGACACTGGAAGACAGATGAGTAAGGGGAGACATGATCACTACCTACACTACCGTCACGCCCTTATACAAGGAATGAAGCTACAGAAGACTTCAATCATTAACCAGTTGACTGGGAATCACTGGAACCGAATGGGAGATAACAGACATGGAGAGAAGAGCTGTGAGAGGTAGCAGAAAGGAGCTTTCTCACGCAACATGCGAGGGTAGGAAACACGGAGAGGGGGGAAAGGCGACAAGCATTTCTTATTGTGAAATTGAGATAGTGAGCATTAAGCATGGCATGACAGCGGGGGCCCAGAGCCGCTGTGTACTGGTCCCCGATCAAGAGGAAGACCTGCGGGCTCACCATAGCCCGTGCTACTTGGAACTTTTTGTTCCAGGGAGCAAATCTTTAACAACAACAACAACAAGAGGCAGAGGTAAGTATTAAGACCAGATCTCCACAGAGGTCCAGGAGAAATAATTCTTGAAGAGTTTCAATCTTTACGGATTCTTCAGCATCTAGACGGATTCTTCAGCATCTAGACGGATTCTTCAGCATCTAGACGGATTCTTCAGCATCCAGACGGATTCTCCAGCATCCAGACGGATTCTCCAGCATCCAGACGGATTCTTCAGCATCCAGACGGATTCTCCAGCATCCAGACGGATTCTTCAGCATCCAGACGGATTCTCCAGCATCCAGACGGATTCTCCAACATCAAGACGGATTCTCCAACATCAAGACGGATTTTCCAGCATCAAGACGGATTCTCCAGCATCAAGACGGATTCTCCAACATCAAGACGGATTCTCCAGCATCAAGACGGATTCTCCAAGCATCCAGACGGATTCTCCAGCATCCAGACGGATTCAGCCAAGGGAAATCCTGCCACAAATCGGCCACTAATTCTGTTGTGGCCTTGTAAAACGTCTTTAGAAGGCCGTTTTAGAAGACCGTTTTAGAAGACCTCATTACATTGGAGTATAGAAGAAATAGGAGAGACATGATAACGACGTACAAAATTATAATGGAAATTGACCATGTAGATAAAGAACGATAAAGTGAGAACTAGCACAACGAGGAAACATAATTGGAAACTGAAAACACCTCCAAAAAATATATATGTCAGAAGAAACTTTTATCATTTGAAAAATGTGAAATCGGTTTAATTTACTACACGTCGAGGGAAGATGTTGAGGCCAATTCGATATACAATTATAAATGGAAATATAAGAAGAGCGAGTGGGAAAAAGGTCAGGGCATTTATAACTACTGGTTTGAGAGACGACACACACACACTCACACACACACACACACACACTCACACACTCACACACACACACACACACACTCACACACTCACACACACTCACACACTCACACACTCACACACACACACACACTCACACACACACTCACACACTCACACACACACACACACACACACACACACACACACACACACACACACACACACACACACACGTGTACACAGGACCTACCCTCCCCCCCCCACACACACGTGTACACAGGACCTACCCTCCCCCCCCACACACACGTGTACACAGGACCTACCCTCCCCCCCACACACACGTGTACACAGGACCTACCCTCCCCCCCACACACACGTGTACACAGGACCTACCCTCCCCCCACACACACGTGTACACAGGACCTACCCTCCCCCCCCACACACACGTGTACACAGGACCTACCCTCCCCCCCCCACACACACACGTGTACACAGGACCTACCCTCCCCCCCCCACACACACACGTGTACACAGGACCTACCCTCCCCACACACACACGTGTACACAGGACCTACCCTCCCCCCACACACACACACGTGTACACAGGACCTACCCTCCCCCCCCACACACGTGTACACAGGACCTACCCTCCCCCCCCCCACACACACACGTGTACACAGGACCACGCTGGTGTCTGGTAAAGTGATGGTGGCAGCCGCTGGCATTCTGCCACCATTGCCAGTCCTGTTATCGCGGGCCAGCCTCCAGTGTTGCCCCTCGACCACTCTGAGAGATATCTCCCGGCCTCTGATAACGCATCCGGCCCGATACCCGCTCTCGCTGGAACCATCCGGCCCCGATACCCGCTCTCGCTGGAACCATCCGGCCCCGATACCCGCTCTCGCTGGAACCATCCGGCCCCGATACCCGCTCTCGCTGGAACCATCCGGCCCCGATACCCGCTCTCGCTGGAACCATCCGGCCCTGATACCCGCTCTCGCTGGAACCATCCGGCCCCGATACCCGCTCTCGCTGGAACCATCCGGCACTGATACCCGCTCTCGCTGGAACCATCCGGCCCCGATACAAACTGTTGCTGGAACCATCCGGCCAGATATAAGCTGTTGCTGGAACCATCCGGCCCCGATACAAGATGTAGTTGGAACCATCCGGCCAGATACAAGATGTAGCTGGAACCATCCGGCCAGATACAAGCTGCACATGGAACCATCCGGCCAGATACAAGCTGCACATGGAACCATCCGGCCAGATACAAGATGTAGCTGGAACCATCCGGCCAGATACAAGCTGCACATAGAACCATCCGGCCAGATACAAGCTGCACATGGAACCATCCGGCCAGATACAAGCTGCACATGAAACTATCCGGCCAGAAAATATTACTGAAAATTCTGATATAAAAAATATTTCGAAACAAGTTTCCTCTGCAAGCCAAAAAAATAAAAGAGGCTCCGAGACATGAAAGATGGTATAAAAAACATCAATGGAAACACATGTTCCAATTTGTGTCCTCAGCGTTGACCCGTTGACCCGTTGACGCGTTGACCCGTTGACGCGTTAACCCGTTGACGCGTTAACCCGTTGAGGCGTTGAATCTTGACCCGGCGTTGTTCTACAGATCAAGGTGTCGTCTGGTATATTTTTTATCATAGTTTACCATACTTTTATACTTTGAGCTCCGTTTTCTATTACCATTTTTGTTATGTTGATAATGTAATTATTTGTCAGTTTTCGTCTGTGTCTCATCCAGCATGCCTATTGTCACTCATCCATGCTGCTACACATACTTATGCATACTACAGAAGAGTAAGGGGAGACATGATCACTACCTACAAGATTCTCAGTGGAATTGACAGGGTAGATAAATTGTTTAACACGGTGGTACGCGAACAAGGGGGGACGGGTGGAAACTGAGTACCCAAATGAGCCACAGGTGGCATTAGAAAGAATTTTTTTCAGTGGCAGAGTAGTTAACAGGTGGAATGCATTAGGCAGTGATGTGGTGGAGGCTGACTCCTGTTATGACCCCAGGTTACCTGAAGAACGAGTCTACCACAGGGAGAGTTATTCCGCGATCTGGACCTGGGGCCAGATTCACGAAAGCACTTAAGCAAGTACTTACGAACGTGTACATCTTTCCTCAATCTTTGACGGCTTTGGTTACATTTATTAAACAGTTTACAAGCATGAAAACGTGCCATTCAACTGTTGTTATTGTTATAAACAGCCTCCTGGTGCTTCGGAGCTCATTAACTGTTTAATAATTGTTAACAAAGCCGCCAAAGATTGAGAAAAGATGTACAGGTTCGTAAGTGCTTGCACTAGACCTGATTGAGAGGTCAGAGGAAGTGTAGATATATGAATATATACTAAATACATGACAAATGTTGGTGGATAGTGTAAAGGCATGAGCAGGGAATGAACATGTAAATAAGTGACATAATATCAGATGTCGATACTTTGTGGACATGATATGAGGCTCGCGGGACTTCTCGACCTTACTTGAGCAACAGAGGTCGTGAGAAGGGGTAGTGCTGTGCTGAGCTCCTGGCAGAGGAGGAAACCCCCCTAGTTGTGTGCTCCTACGAGAGGAGGTAATCAAGCAGGCGTTTATGTGTGAAGCCTGAGGACGATTTAAAGTGCTCAAGTCAGGATTAGAAGAAGCCTTGTGAGGCAGTCCTATAGCGATTTTGTGGGCGCCATTGTTGAGGACCCGGCCTGAGTGCCCTAGACACAAATTCTGGGTAAGCTAATATAACAGTCGTTGCAGTGGTTGCCTGTGTTTGATCGTGTGCACAGCGATCATGGCAAGTGTTTATATATATAGTATAGATATTTTATTAAGGCAGTAAGCTGAAATAAGAGAGTAGAGATAGGAGAACATATTGGAGGGAGGAGTGATACGTCCTCCCTCGACGAAGGTCAGTGGATGACTAAAGGGGAGAGGAGCCCCAGGCTGGCACAGCGGCATATCGGGACATGTCGAAAATGGACCCGCCCAAGATGGGGGAAGACCGTCGCGGCTACGCAATAGTTTTAAAGAGACGTCGGATGGAGGAGTTTTACTTTTTGTGAATGCATTTAATTATGTTTTAGTAGGGGAAGCATTTTTATTGACATGGAAATGGAATTGAAAGTTTGTTTGGGGAGGAGTTGATGGAAGAACTTCGAGGCTGGAGAAGCGAAGCGAAGCGAAAACGTCCATAGAGCTGGCAAGCAGGGGATGGAAGAACGGGGCGAGGTTGCAGAAATCTTGAGCAAGGATCTGGAGATGAGGTGAAGAGGGGAGATGAAAGATCGGTGGCCCAACCACCGCGGATTAGAACTTGAGTAGATGGAAGTAGAATTGAGTAGGGCGTCATTTGCAGTCCACGCAGAGGCCAGGAACGCAAGCAGCTGGCAGATGATGGTAATTGAAGGTTGATTACTTCATTGGTTTACTTCTTTCTTGATGGTGGGAGCAAGGTCTGATCTTTGGTCTTTGTTTTCGGCTTGTCTTTCTTGGCGGTCCGACTTCGTGTTGACATTGCTGTGGGATCAATAGCGTCATAAAGAAAATCGGCAGATGAATAGTTGTATTTCTGTGAAGGTGGAGATGTCGTTCCCACAGAAACATCCTCATCTGATGAGTCAGATGAGTACATACCAGGAGATGTGGGTCTTGGAAGTAGTGTTCCTGATGGTTTAGTAGCAGCGGTAGGACTTACTGCAGATGTAGAAGGTTCAGTGGATGTATGTACTGTGGGTGGAGATGTAACAGGAGATGGTGGATGAGAAGTCGTCGGCTTCTGGGTTGCTACCATGCCAGGAGCAGATGTTGCAGCTGCAGTAGGTTCAGTATCGTTCACAGCAATGTCCGAGGCTGGACCAGGAGCTGGAGCATCATCCGACAATGGGTTTGAAGGGTCGAGGACTAGCACAGTGGTCCCTGAAGGTTTGGTATGAAGAGGTGCTGGATGACTCTGCTGGGTTGAAGGTTCATTGCCCGTTCGTTCTTGAATTTCTTTCTTTATCATAGCGGCGTGTTTCGGATATTTCACGTAGTATTGAGGGTCAATAATGGCAGGGTGGAGCATGGTAACATCAGTGCAGTAACGAACTGTGTCAGCCTCAACGTACCAAAACTCTCTGCGGGTTCCGTCATCGTTCAGTCCGTTTTCGTAGTCGATGTTCCACTCCCGAGCTGTGACACGTTTCTGAGAAATAGTATATTTCAGGTCTCTAGGGCAATTGTAAGACGCATAAACAGGATGGAGAAGTGTATGCTGAAATCTGTGGGAGAGCAGAGCTCCATAGTGAGGAGTTGACCTCAAGCAGTGTAAAGGAGCAGTAAAGAGGAGTTTCACGTGTCTCCGTGGGATCACTGGTGAAGTATCATTAGTGTCTGAAGAGCACTTCATTGTGCAGCAGTTTTGGGAGAACTGCAGAAGTGCTTTGTTGAATATTTTGGAGGACCTAGAGATATGTATGGTAGTGAGCCTCCAGGAGCAGAGCAGAGGATTATGGTGGATTCACAGGAATGTATAAGGGGAGTGCTTGAATGATTATTAGTGTGTAAGACGCAGTGTAAGGCGAGAGATTGATTACTTCTTATGTTGCGGAATATTTATGCAGATGTTTCTGGTATTTCAGTCTCAGGCTGAGTTTATATACTTTTAGGGCTGAATGTATAATATTGTTATGACGAGATTTCACCCCCATTTAGTGAGGGAATAGTAAGTGGTGATAATGGTTGTTATAGCCGGGGGGAAGGGTTGTGGAGATAAGCTCCCACACCCTGTAAAGTGCCCCTGATGGCGTGCGTCTCAAATAGCCTCTGACAACCAAGTCCAGCTCCTGGCCTGCACCTGTGGCTTAGCCTCTAGGCCTGGCGGAACTGCTTCTACCAACAGGAGAAGGGGCGAAGGCCGGTCTCTGGCGCCTTAAAACCAGTTGCTTCGGCCAGATGGGACTCGTTAGCCTGGGAAGGCAGCTCATCTAGGGGAAGGAAAACCCCGAATTCAAACCTCTGCTGTCTTGCAACTAAACCCACTCATGGGAAAGATTTCGGGAGTCAACCCTGAGGAAAAATCCGGAGTTGGAGTCCCTAAGGCAGTTTGCAGCTGTTTACAGCTACATTCTGGCAACTCCTGCGACGACACTGGTGCCAAGCGTATCGGCGCCTGCCCTTCCCTTGGATCACATCGGTAGCGTGGAGAGGGTGGGTCTGCTGCATGGGCAACAGCTGATCCTCCATAATTACTGCCCAGACCTGTGCCCTGGACAGGCACAGGTCTGGAGTTGTGCCCAGGGCACAACTCCATAACCCCACGGGATTGACGGATGCCTACTACTAAGTAAGTGGTAAGCCAAGAGTTGGGCAACCACTTGATATGGACGGTTGGTAAAGCCAGGATATGATATTGGATTGCTACTGGGTTGTAGCAGCTTAGAGTGTTTTATATTTAATTTTTGTACCTGTCATATATTGTATGTCTTTTTCATTTATGAAATGTGTATTGCTAGCTGGCTTTTGCTCTTGTCCTGGTGAGGCTTCCCAGAAAGCAGGAGAGAGAGAGAGAGAGAGAGAGAGAGAGAGAGAGAGAGAGAGAGAGAGAGAGAGAGAGAGAGAGAGAGAGAGAGAGAGAGAGAGAGAGAGAGAGAGAGAGAGAGAGAAAGAATCACGGCTGCGGACAGGGTGGCAGAAAATACTAATTCTCAAAAGGGGGATTTAGGAGATCATTCCAAACAAGGAGAGAGTGGGGAGTCATGGAGGCTCAAGTAGGGTGTGTATACAGAACAACGAGGCCAGTGTTGGAGCCGCACCCCTAAACATGTAATGCAGAACCCCTGTCCAAGATCAAAAGGCGTACAGGGTGATCTCCTGATTAAACTTCAAGCACTCCAGTGTTCACTGTTGGTCGACCGAGGGTAGCAGGTGTGTGGCTGCCGAGGTCGGTTGTCTGTTCCGGCAGAGAGTGGCTGGGGACGTTGTCCGCCTGTATGCAAGTAACAATCTGGTGCAGCAGCAAGAGCTCTCATTGGAGGTTTAACTTCCACAAGTCCCAACCCTCTCAGGCCAGAACACTCCTTACACAGTTTCAAATGCAGATATGATAGAACCCAGTAGGCTCAGGAATCTGTACATCAGTTGACTTACAATTAAGAGGCAGGACCAAAGAACCAGAGCTCAACCCCCGTAGCACAACTAGGTGAGTACTCGCCCACACTCTCACCCACACCTACACACTCGCCTACATATACCTTCTGAAAATTAAATTAAAGCTGGGGCCTTCGTCAATGAAATACTTGCTAAAGAACTTTCATTACAGTGTGCCTACCTGGGGCCTTGCTGGGGTGACCCACCTTGGAGGCCTGGGGCCTTGCTGGGGTGACCCACCTTGGAGGCCTGGGGCCTTGCTGGGGTGACCCACCTTGGAGGTCTGGGGCCTTGCTGGGGTGACCCACCTTGGAGGCCTGGGGCCTTGCTGGGGTGACCCACCTAGGAGGCTTGGGACCTTGCTGGGGTGACCCACCATGAAGGCTTGAGACCTTGCTGGGGTGACCCACCATGGAGGCTTGAGACCTTGCTGGGGTGACCCACCATGGAGGCTTGGGGCGTTGCTGGGGTAACCCACCATGGAGGCCTGAGACCTTGCTGGGGTGACCCACCATGGAGGCCTGAGACCTTGCTGGGGTGACCCACCATGGAGGCTTGGGGCGTTGCTGGGGTGACCCACCATGAAGGCCTGAGACCTTGCTGGGGTAACCCACCATGGAGGCCTGAGACCTTGCTGGGGTGACCCACCATGGAGGCCTGAGACCTTGCTGGGGTGACCCACCATGGAGGCCTGAGACCTTGCTGGGGTGACCCACCATGGAGGCTTGGGGCCTTGCTGGGGTGACCCACCATGGAGGCTTGGGGCCTTGCTGGGGTGACTCACCATGGAGGCTTGAGACCTTGCTGGGGTGACCCACCATGGAGGCTTGGGGCGTTGCTGGGGTGACCCACCATGAAGGCCTGAGACCTTGCTGGGGTAACCCACCATGGAGGCCTGAGACCTTGCTGGGGTGACCCACCATGGAGGCCTGAGACCTTGCTGGGGTGACCCACCATGGAGGCCTGAGACCTTGCTGGGGTGACCCACCATGGAGGCGTGGGGCGTTGCTGGGGTGACCCACCATGAAGGCCTGAGACCTTGCTGGGGTAACCCACCATGGAGGCCTGAGACCTTGCTGGGGTGACCCACCATGGAGGCCTGAGACCTTGCTGGGGTGACCCACCATGGAGGCCTGAGACCTTGCTGGGGTGACCCACCATGGAGGCTTGGGGCCTTGCTGGGGTGACCCACCATGGAGGCTTGGGGCCTTGCTGGGGTGACCCACCATGGAGGCTTGAGACCTTGTTGGGGTGACCCACCATGGAGGCTTGGGGCGTTGCTGGGGTGACCCACCATGAAGGCCTGAGACCTTGCTGGGGTAACCCACCATGGAGGCCTGAGACCTTGCTGGGGTGACCCACCATGGAGGCCTGAGACCTTGCTGGGGTGACCCACCATGGAGGCCTGAGACCTTGCTGGGGTGACCCACCATGGAGGCTTGGGGCCTTGCTGGGGTGACCCACCATGGAGGCTTGGGGCGTTGCTGGGGTGACCCACCATGGAGGCTTGAGACCTTGCTGGGGTGACCCACCATGAAGGCTTGAGACCTTGCTGGGGTGACCCACCATGGAGGCTTGAGACCTTGCTGGGGTAACCCACCATGGAGGCCTGAGACCTTGCTGGGGTGACCCACCATGGAGGCCTGAGACCTTGCTGGGGTGACCCACCATGGAGGCCTGAGACCTTGCTGGGGTGACCCACCATGGAGGCTTGGGGCCTTGCTGGGGTGACCCACCATGGAGGCCTGAGACCTTGCTGGGGTGACCCACCATGGAGGCTTGGGGCCTTCCTGGGGTGACCCACCATGGAGGCTTGGGGCCTTGCTGGGGTGACCCACCATGGAGGCTTGAGACCTTGCTGGGGTGACCCACCATGGAGGCTTGGGGCGTTGCTGGGGTGACCCACCATGAAGGCCTGAGACCTTGCTGGGGTAACCCACCATGGAGGCCTGAGACCTTGCTGGGGTGACCCACCATGGAGGCCTGAGACCTTGCTGGGGTGACCCACCATGGAGGCCTGAGACCTTGCTGGGGTGACCCACCTTGGAGGTCTGGGGCCTTGCTGGGGTGACCCACCATGGAGGCCTGGGACCTTGCTGGGGTGACCCACCATGGAGGCCTGAGACCTTGCTGGGGTGACCCACCTTGGAGGTCTGGGGCCTTGCTGGGGTGACCCACCATGGAGGCCTGGGGCCTTGCTGGGGTGACCCACCATGGAGGCCTGAGACCTTGCTGGGGTGACCCACCAGCTGACTGATCATATTTCACGCGCCAAAATCAGCTGATGGAATGTAAACAAAGTGATCCTTTGTCTTTTTTTCATTGTTCTCTTATCACAGTCGCCCAGATGGCTCCCTCTGGCTCTCACAGTCGCCCAGATGGCTCCCTCTGGCTCTCACAGTCGCCCAGATGGCTCCCTCTGGCTCTCACAGTCGCCCAGATGGCTCCCTCTGGCTCTCACAGTCGTCCAGATGGCTCCCTCTGGCTCTCACAGTCGTCCAGATGGCTCCCTCTGGCTCTCACAGTCGTCCAGATGGCTCCCTCTGGCTCTCACAGTCGCCCAGATGGCTCCCTCTGGCTCTCACAGTCGCCCAGATGGCTCCCTCTGGCTCTCACAGTCGCCCAGATGGCTCCCTCTGGCTCTCACAGTCGCCCAGATGGCTCCCTCTGGCTCTCACAGTCGCCCAGATGGCTCCCTCTGGCTCTCACAGTCGTCCAGATGGCTCCCTCTGGCTCTCACAGTCGCCCAGATGGCTCCCTCTGGCTCTCACAGTCGCCCAGATGGCTCCCTCTGGCTCTCACAGTCGCCCAGATGGCTCCCTCTGGCTCTCACAGTCGTCCAGATGGCTCCCTCTGGCTCTCACAGTCGCCCAGATGGCTCCTTCTGGCTCTCACAGTCGTCCAGATGGCTCCCTCTGGCTCTCACAGTCGCGCAGATGGCTCCCTCTGGCTCTCACAGTCGTCCAGATGGCTCCCTCTGGCTCTCACAGTCGCCCAGATGGCTCCCTCTGGCTCTCACAGTCGCCCAGATGGCTCCCTCTGGCTCTCACAGTCGTCCAGATGGCTCCCTCTGGCTCTCACAGTCGCCCAGATGGCTCCCTCTGGCTCTCACAGTCGCCCAGATGGCTCCCTCTGGCTCTCACAGTCGCCCAGATGGCTCCCTCTGGCTCTCACAGTCGCCCAGATGGCTCCCTCTGGCTCTCACAGTCGCCCAGATGGCTCCCTCTGGCTCTCACAGTCGTCCAGATGGCTCCCTCTGGCTCTCACAGTCGTCCAGATGGCTCCCTCTGGCTCTCACAGTCGCCCAGATGGCTCCCTCTGGCTCTCACAGTCGCCCAGATGGCTCCCTCTGGCTCTCACAGTCGTCCAGATGGCTCCCTCTGGCTCTCACAGTCGTCCAGATGGCTCCCTCTGGCTCTCACAGTCGCCCAGATGGCTCCCTCTGGCTCTCACAGTCGCCCAGATGGCTCCCTCTGGCTCTCACAGTCGCCCAGATGGCTCCCTCTGGCTCTCACAGTCGCCCAGATGGCTCCCTCTGGCTCTCACAGTCGCCCAGATGGCTCCCTCTGGCTCTCACAGTCGTCCAGATGGCTCCCTCTGGCTCTCACAGTCGTCCAGATGGCTCCCTCTGGCTCTCACAGTCGCCCAGATGGCTCCCTCTGGCTCTCACAGTCGCCCAGATGGCTCCCTCTGGCTCTCACAGTCGCCCAGATGGCTCCCTCTGGCTCTCACAGTCGTCCAGATGGCTCCCTCTGGCTCTCACAGTCGTCCAGATGGCTCCCTCTGGCTCTCACAGTCGCCCAGATGGCTCCCTCTGGCTCTCACAGTCGCCCAGATGGCTCCCTCTGGCTCTCACAGTCGCCCAGATGGCTCCCTCTGGCTCTCACAGTCGCCCAGATGGCTCCCTCTGGCTCTCACAGTCGCCCAGATGGCTCCCTCTGGCTCTCACAGTCGCCCAGATGGCTCCCTCTGGCTCTCACAGTCGTCACAGTCGTCAGAACACAGCTTGGGGCGAGGCACGCCAGCCTCTGGCACTAATCATAATCCTCTTATTGTCTGCTGGATGGTGTTCCAGCAGACACCAGGATGGTGTTCCAGCAGACACATGGATGGTGTTCCAGCAGACACATGGATGGTGTTCCAGCAGACACATGGATGGTGTTCCAGCAGACACATGGATGGTGTTCCAGCAGACACCAGGATGGTGTTCCAGCAGACACATGGATGGTGTTCCAGCAGACACATGGATGGTGTTCCAGCAGACACATGGATGGTGTTCCAGCAGACACATGGATGGTGTTCCAGCAGACACATGGATGGTGTTCCAGCAGACACATGGATGGTGTTCCAGCAGACACATGGATGGTGTTCCAGCAGACACATGGATGGTGTTCCAGCAGACACTAAAGTGCCCTTATCCTAACCTATCACAGGACCCGAAACAGAAAACGGGACAGTACGTCAATTATGCGACCCGCTACCGTTTTCTAGTACGACGATTTTTTGGCCCTAGTGCCACCTGGATGGTGCGGCTCTATCGACTTGAGAATGGTCCAGGACGGACCGAAACGTCGTCGTCGTCCCTTCACCTTCTAGTGTGTGGTCTGGTCAACACACTTCAGCCACGTTATTGTGACTCATCGCCTGCAGCATTTGGCCTTAGTCGCATTTTGCATACGTCAAAATGCGACGTTGTACGAGGAGGAGGACGGGTGTGCCTGGCGGCAGGCCTGGTGGCAGGTGGCAGGCCTGGCGGCTGGTGGCAGGCCTGGCGGCTGGTGGCAGGCCTGACGGGAGTCAACAAGTTAGGCCCCGGCTGATGGCACAGTGCCACCGGTAACTAGCTACTTGTGCTAGTTAGCTCACTCCTCCCCCTCATTACTCTCTCTCTCTCTCTCTCTCTCTCTCTCTCTCTCTCTCTCTCTCTCTCTCTCTCTCTCTCTCTCTCTCTCTCTCTCTCTCCTCTAGACCTTGTCTCACCTGTGCCCAGGTGTGTATGGGGAAGGTCAGGCAGCTACCTGTGTACAGGTAAGGTCAGGGAGCCACCTGTGTACAGGTAAGGTCAGGTAGGCACCTGTGTACAGGTAAGGTCAGACAGCCACCTGTATACAGGTAAGGTCAGACAGCCACCTGTATACAGGTAAGGTCAGACAGCCACCTGTGTACAGGTAAGGTCAGACAGCCACCTGTGTACAGGTAAGGTCAGACAGCCACCTGTGTACAGGTAAGGTCAGACAGCCACCTGTGTACAGGTAAGGTCAGACAGCCACCTGTGTACAGGTAAGGTCAGACAGCGGGTCTCAGCTTGGCATTTGTTTTATTTCTAAATGTCAGTCAGTGAGGCTGCGAGAGCTGCGGGCTTAAATTTTTGCATATTGAGCATTGATATATTTTGTACCATCAGCAGTCTATGTTTATACATGTTAGAGATTATCAATACTGGTATTCAGGTCCAACCACTTAAGGGGGAGCTCCGTCCTGTCCCGTCAGCTGATGCGACGGTTACACTTCTTAGATTTCAAAACCCATGTCCTTAGTTAAGGCAACCGGTATATCAAACCCATGTATACACGCGGAGAATATCTGTTACTGGAATAGTGAAAAAAGAAAGACTGCGTGTACTCCACTTGTCAAAGACTAATATAGTCCGCGCTTGAGGTCTATACTCTCACTATAGCCCTCTGTATCCTATCAGAGAGGTACGCTCTATTCCACTTTAGTAACCTTCCATTTATGGATACTTCAGTCTCAAGAGGGTAACCCTCTCTAGTGGAATGGGGAGGGAATGTAGGGTGGGAAGGGGTAGGGGGCAAGGGGAGGCAGGGGAGGAGAGGTAGGGGGTAGACAGGGTGGGAGACGGGGGGGGGGGGAGGAGGTACCTAAGAGACAGAAGAGTCCCAGAAGGCTGAGAGACGGGGCCATCGATTCCCTTGGGAACCGGAACGCCCGCAAGCTCCTGTGGCTCCCAGGAGACGACACCTGTCACCAAGCCCCTGCACCTTGCAGCTGAAGGCTCCCCGGGGCCGGAACACCTGTCACGCAAGACCTGTCGCCGGGTGGAAGTTCACGGCCACATTGAGACTAGCGGCCGCCCCCGCTAATTTCTGGGCCCACACCGTCACCTCCACACCCAGCGCGGGAAACTGTCACCTCCACCCCGAGCGCGGGAAACCGTCACCTCCACCCCGAGCGCGGGAAACCGTCACCTCCACCCCGAGCGCGGGAAACCGTCACGTACCTCCACCCCGAGCACAGGAAAACGGTTTAGCGTTCACAATACCCAAAATGTTGTTCCCCTCACTCAGGTAAAACAGCTGTATGTTACCCAGGCGTGGTCACCCCTCGAGGCTTAACTACGACAAAGAGTCATTTCAACAGGTCAGAATGTAACATATACATCTAGAGCCCAGAGGCCAGACATAGCCTAAGCTACTCTATCCCTTTGAGATATATTTTATTGTCTCAATAAACGTACTTGAACTTTTAGAACCCGACTGTCATAATGAACTTTTCGTGAGCAGTAGAAGCAACATATCCCCCCCCCACTTTGTTAGCACAGTACTTTTTCCGACTATGGGGACGAGCGTACAAACATCGACGTTTTACACAATAACAAAATAGTATAATTTGGTACTATAAACTTTGTAGATTACGGAAACACAAAAGAACTAAAAACCAAACTTAAATATTTTCCTAGGCTTAACTAGTATAGCACATTTATATACTATATTAATCCTGTGTGTATCAGGCCCAGGACGGTTAGGATAGGTTGTATTATAAACAAAAAAAGCTTTTCCGGTTTGTCCAAATTCAATAATACAAGAGTCTACCTTACACAGGTCTAGAGCACCAACATGCAGTGGCGGACCACCAAAAAGTTGACTTTAAATCACTGGACCTGGCCAAACTTGTTTACCCGCAGGAAACATATACGACCCAACCTCTCCTAGCAAAATATCCTATGTCTAATACTCGCTATCTTAGGCCGTACATATTACATATATGTGCTATACTAAACCTAGGAATATTCAAGTTTGGTTCCTAGCTTTAATTTTTTTCCAGTCTATACCATTATTCGTACCAAAAATAGTATCATTAATAGTACCAAAAGTGGCTTAGTGACGGTCCATTAAGTTGGGACTAGTGCAGATAGTTACTATGAGTACTAACGACTCACAAGGATAGGCTGGGTATATAGCAGTAATTGTCAACACA